CCCGCCACCGGAATCCTCAGCTTCAGAGCCGAGGCTTTGTCAATCTTTTCAGGGCCGGGAGGGCGCTCGGGGTTCTCCGGGCCGCCGATGGGGATTTTCAGGATGATTGGAGAGGGGTTGCTGTCCTGCTGGACTTCCCTCTCCCGCTGCTGCTGGACCAGGAGATTCTGCGCGGCGTAAGCGTACTGAGACCGCACGTTGGCCTCCATGTTCTCCAGCTGCCGCTTCTGCGCCGCCAGCTCCTCGGCATGCTTGGCCCGGTACTCCTTGAGCGACACTTTGGCCGACGGGGCGTTCTTGCCGCTCTGCTTCTGATAACCAGCGCCATCTTGCTTCAAGGGATGCTCAGCAGCCGACGAGCTTTCGTTAGTCCTGTGACTCTGGCCAGTCTCCAGCTTGGGTGGAGGATGCTGGGACAGCCAGTGCCCAGGCTGGGACATATCCGCACTGCTCTGGTCGCTGGGTGAGTCCGCCGTGGCCGGCAGAGAAGGCCCTGCTCCAGCGGTCGAGGATGTTGACATGCTCATTAACCCAGCGATGTTCATGTCCGAACTATTGTTCCGGGAAATCATGTTGAGGATCGTCTGCTCTGACAGGCTCTCGTCTTCACCGTGGTCGTCAGCCTTTGACTTCGTGGCTGCTTGAGTGGCCTGGAATAAAAGCAGCGACTGGTCATTTCCTTTGGGCTGTCACTGGAGCTGGTTTGATGCAAGCAGCCCACCCGGTACAGCACAAGCTCTCATTTCAAGACGGATCCACTTTGCCCCACAACTTTGATCCCACTTTCCTTGTGGGAAAAGACCCAACCACTTGCAAGTGGGGTTGCTAGAGCAGTTGAAAAACCGAGGTCTCTACAGCGTTAACGCAGAACAGACGAACTCAAGCGCTGAAGCGACATTTTGCAGGCATACAGTGTTCAGACTTCCCCCCACGCATGCCCTTCAGATCCCGTCTCGTATTTTAACGCCAGAGGTGCCACACGGCCTCATGCACACAGAAGAAATCAGAGCCCGCGTTCTCCTGCAAGCACCCGCGGTCCAGCGCAGATTCTTACCCGCCAGTTCCGGATACGTTTAAGCCGGTTGGGAGTTTTCTCAAGGATCTGCAGAAATTCATGAGTCAGTTCTGCAGAGGAAACACAAACCCAAGCAAGAGGGTCAGAGGCAAGCAGACTAAGACTAATCCATCAAGGCAACCCCCTACTTATTGATGAGTGGAGCTACTGGTGAGATGGAGCTACTCCAGGAGGGGAAATACTGAGAACTAGTATCACTGACCACATTTAAACTCATCTCACTGTGCGCCTTTTGCCATCTCTGTTGTACCATAGAAGCTGCTGCTGCACTGGAAACCTTGGCAAGACCTGAAGTCCTGGAGTCCATGAACCGGCCGGCGGCCGCGTTTGAACGGCAGACCCAGGAACAGAGATGCCAAAATAATGTAAGAGCCTTTGGGGGGGAACCTCGCTCCAAAACTTACCATCTAAGAGCTCCAGAGTTACAGTGCCATCAACGTATTCCCACCAGTGCTTCCCGTCCGTGGAGACTGGGATCTCCCAGTTGGACCACTTACAAGCCAGGTGGATACAGACGCAGGCCACAACGGGAGGGGTGTACTGCAGGCTGAAGGTGGTCAGGTGCAGGCTGACGTCACCAGCAGGGAGAGAGAAACAAAAAGCCATGAACTCCCAAGCCTGAACTTCAGCACTCGCAATCGCCCACTGAACAGACGCTGTGCAAGAGGTGGACGTGGTGGGGGAAGTCCCTGCCATTCCTCCCCCAGTACAACCCTACTGTTACAGGCGTCTCTATCCCGCTCCACCGATTTGCTTGTTCCTTCCCTGTTCTGCTGCAGATAATTTGGGTCCAGGCAATTCTGTCAGCTCAAGGCTCTGCAGCTCAGGCAGGAGCAGCGAGGCACGCTGCCACCCCGCTCAAGCCCTCCTCCGAGGGAGGAAGCGAGGGGCTGGGTGACCTGCCAGCCCCCACCTCTGCTGCGGGCTCTGCTCAAGCTGAGAAGGAACCGAGACACTTCCAGGTGCAACTCCTGGGATGGCATTCAAGGAGCAAACTGGCCCTCTCCGGCTTTTAGGAAGGGTCTGGTCTTTCCCAAATGATTTTTAGGAAAAGCACTGAAGCTTCGGCTGTGAATAGGACATGCTGGAGTGACTCGAGAGCGCCTAAAAGGGAGCCTGGCCACTTATCAAGCATTTTCATTAGTAAATTAATCTGCCGCACGATAGCTCAGATGTCAGCACTGGGAGGTCTAGGTAGCACTGAGAACAGAACCAACGGGCTAAGCAAGCATCCTACTCTCGACCTGCAGGAACGCCAGGTCCTCTGAGCCTCAGAAACCGTGACAGCAAGCCGAGTGCAGGATTTACCCACTGTCACACTCGTGAATCGGCCCTTTCAAAGAGCGCTTGATGGGAACGGCGCCACTGAGCATCTACGTGCAGCTGCAGGATGGCATTATCTGCATTTCTTCGCCACGCTCAGGTTACTTAAACATTTTTCCATCAATGCAACGCGGAGATACGCATCTAGAGCCAAAAAGTCTGAAGCCATTTCACGGGTACTGTATTTATCCATACACCACGAAGCCAAACCCAGGAAATTCAGAGCCTTTCTCCAGTCTGCCAAGGTAAGAAGCAAAGTTGAGGTGCACAGAGAGCCTTAACTCTGCCCCACAAATGACACCAGAAGGAAATAGAAGTTAAACATCCATAGCTACGCCCGATAAATCCAGTTCATCACTTAAGCACCTTAATCAGGCATTTCATGGCATCACTTTAAGGCAAAATTGAGGCTGCCTGGCCACATTTCTTACTTCCTGCCTGGATTTCTTTCAAGTACAACCTTAACTTGTAATTCCTTGGTTTTGCAATTACTGCTGCAGGGATAAAACACGTTTCGAGGCTGCGTTTACCTGCACATTACTAACACCACCTTCCCTTTACGCTCGTTTATGCAGGACACCCACACGGTGCCCTTTGGAGCTACAGAGCACCTGCAACAAACAATTCTGCCAGCGCGCTGTGGAGGTGAGCAGGTAACACCTCTGACAGGCAGAGAGGAGAGAAACGACTCGCCCAAGGCCACGCACATTCCCAGCTTGGCCAGGGCTCGGAAGCGTTCTCCAACTCTGCAGCTTCACCTGTGCTAGTACCCAAACCATCTTGTTCTCCCATCTTTTCACTTCTGCAAGCTCTTTCACAAAACCACAAGATCTCCCGTGTCCACAACCTGGCCTGTTCCAAACATTAAGTCCGTGATTTGCCCGAAGCTGGTAATCCAGGTGATTAAATTTAAAAAAACCCAGATGTCAGCGGTCCCAACACGAGGGCTGGTATCAGCCTTGCAGTGAAAATCTAGTGACAAAACTACCCAGGCTTCTCAAGGTGAAAAAAAAAAAAAAAACAGGGGCTTTTTTCATTTCCCAGACTCCACTTATACACTGTCTGTCGGGTCACGCAGGCCAGCCAGGGCTATCATTTTCTCTTGCAATGCCTCACGCCTGCATGCAACTGCCCTTTTTCTCCCTTTATAAAACTCTAGACCAGCTTTCTTTGGGGTACAGACCGTATTTGTTGGCAATTTGCAGAGCACCTAGTTCAGTGAAAACTCTGACACCTAGGTACTAAGAACGTAAGAACTGATCTATTCCTTTCAAGTCTGCCTTCGTGGTCTGGGGGTTTGTTTTAACTTTCACAACTGTCTAACTCCCCATAAAAAAAAAAAAAAACCAGTAGTGAAGATCCTGAGCATCCCGTCTGCCTCGCTTATATGGCCAATTCTGCAGCTGCTTTTGACCAGCAGCTAGCAAGGAAAAAGGATTCCTGCTCTTCCTGAACTAAACTGAGCGATCCCCAGTTGCTCATAGGCTGACCAACGCCCCAGGGGTCACCAGTAGCACATCTCCTCCAGATAAGACCCTCTGTCAAATACGAATCAATTGAAAAATAATAACCTGTTGGTAGCCATGAAATAGGAAGTTTGCGCCAAGTCCTTGCTGGCTGAAAGAGAACAGGAAAAAGTAGGGCGTTAGTCTGCATGCCCTGACAAACATTACTCCACTTTAGCACAAGAACCAGGGGCCTCTCGCCACCACGGTTTGGCTAACCCTACACCACAGCTAAAACGATTTTAGAAATTACTGTACATAGAAAGCTTTGCGTGATTCAGCAGAGCCACAACATCACATCAGTCATTTGCAACTGCCTCTGTTTTGACATTCGTTACGGTTATCAGAGACGGACTGCAAGCATGTTCTCGGGCAATCCCAGCTAAACACCGCCACGTTATTTTCACAGCTCTTCTCTATCAGGCTGCGGTTACACGGCAGAGATGCCACAAGCACCCGACGTCTGACACCGCTTACCTCGCACTAGCTGTGTGCACTTCACCACGTGGGTATGAGGGTGGTCAATAGTGATCTCAAAACCTGGAAGAACACAGACATACGGCCATCAGAAAACCAGCGGCACACCCCCACGGATCTACGAACCTCACGTTTCCTGCTCCTGGGGGACAAGGCCTTCTCCCCTTCCCTCCTACAGCCCCTGCTCTCTGCTCGGAGGCAAGCAGGAATAGAGGAGCCTGTTTTCCTGTATCCAGAAGACTCAAGTTCTCCAGTCACAAAACCCGAAGGTCACTGCTGCTGCCAGACCTCCAAGCAGCTAAATGACTTCTGCGCTTGAAAAGACCTCACTGAAAACAAAACAACTATTAAGGATTTTAAAAATAGCAGGACAAAGCCTCTTACAGCAGCTGGGAGGAAGGAGAAGACAATGGCATCTGCTCAAAGGAATTTCTGTCACCCAAAAAGCTAAGAGGAAGCAGACATTTTCCCTTTGAAGGAGCCTGCAGCACTAAAGACAACTGAACTTAATCCTCGCTTCAGTTTCCTATTCAGTTTGGGCATTATGTTTTAAAGATGAAGAAAAAAAAATTCCAACCGGTCCATGTGTGCAACAGATTTGGTTCATCCCATGCAGAACATTCTAGAAGAACCGGGACATTAAAAAAAGGCAACTGGAAAACCAAGTTTTTGCAGAACTGGGCTCGCAGTTTAGCCACTGGCTTGCCAGACCAGTGCCTGCAACTCGTGGCCACCCCTGCCCCTCCTGTCCCCTCGCAAGGGAGGGACTGGTGGCACTCACTCTGAACCAAGCCAGAAATAACAAAAGCACTCAGTATTTTGGAGTGGAACGCTACCTACAAACTGTCTCTGAAAGGGAACGTTACGTTAGTAAAAACACGTTTTAACAGTACATTTTAGAAAGGAATGGGATACCAGATCCAACAGCCGCAGCCCTAAACATAGGCTCCGGCTTCTACTTTCAAGAAACCCCCCAAAAACCTGTTGCTGTTTCTTCCCCCCCCGCCCCCATGTTCAGCTATCTGATCAAAATATTAACTTTCAACCCAGGTTTTGTTAGACATCTCTCAGGGCAAACTGCTTCCTGACCACAGGACTAGAGCATCATCCAGTTCAACAGCACAACAGAAGACAGCGACCGGCATCCAAGCGGTACAAAACCTGTTGGGGAGGGGGGGGAAGAGACGAGCCACACTTCCACACTTTAATTTCTCTGAGCCTGACACAAGTTACACCTGAAAAAACGGATGTTAAAGGAAAACAGAAGGAGTGGGTGTGAAAAATAGAGTTTGTTGCCTGGGCTCTTGCTCTCCCACTGGCCAGCTGTACATCTGCCCTCCAGCTGTGGAGAAGACTGTGCGGTTAGGCTCTCCGCTCTGCGGAACACTCCTGGGTCTGGGATTCGTGTGGCAGCCCGTCCGCTTTGAAAAACTTACCCAGGGTTTGCAGTATTATGCTCTCTAGAATGACCAGGTCTTGGGCTTGTTGCAGGTAAGCCTGGGGTTGAGAGGACAGGCAAGTTACTCACGATGAGGCACTCCGTATAAAGCCTGCACATTTCTAACACCCTTTTCTCAGGGAGGCAAAAATAGCAAAGGGGAATCTTTATGCCGATCTGCACTGGGGGAACTGGCACAGATTCCCCGCCAGAAAAGAGAAAGCAGAGTGCTGGGGTGGACCCGCTCCCCCGCTAGTGCTTCTGCTAGGGGGTGGCTGCTTCGCGATCCACAGTGGCCCTCTCAGTCCTGGTCCCTCGCACTGCATGGGATGGCTATATGAGCAGTACAGGAGAGGAATTAGCTGCTTTTTTATTATTATTATTATTATTCCTTAAGCTTTCCTGGATAAAGCTGCCCCTTTTCAGCAGGGTTGGCTGCTCAGTTCCAGGTAAGACGGGCTGTCTCAAGAGATGGGGAACCAGCAACGTTTTTAATAAAATCACCGTTAAACGTGTGGGGACAGAACAGACCCAACCGTGCACACCACCTTCTGCTCTGCCACAGATACTACTCAATCGCAGCAGCAGCCAACATCCATGCCCTCCTCAGAAGCTTTTCACGCAGACATTGTTATACGGCAAACATCCGAGTCACATTTTCAGCAGCACAGCAGAGGAGAACAGAAGAGAAGTTGCCACAGAGCAGGAAAGAAAAGCCTTCTGCTGTACAGAAGCCAAAAAGCTCTCAGTAGCGTAAGAGCAGTCAAATTGAAAAGCTGTCACTGACCATCCTAGGA